GTAGCTATTCGTAATTTTACTTGCGTCGAGGTTCACTTGAACTTAATCGGCAAAAATGTTCCTGTATGCTTCGGCTGGTGCGAGACGTCCGTAAAGCTCCTGAAAAGAAAATCGGAGACTGAAAATCAATTATATTTGATATGTCGTGTGTCCGTTTCTATTTGACGGAACGCTTCAAAGTCGGAAAAATAAACTTGTTTTCTGTGTCTGCTCCTTCTTGAAGCTGACTATTGTTTTTCTTTCAGTGACAAGTGTGTATGCAACTTTTGTTTATCTCAGCGCTTGCCGTGACAGTGTCTTTTGGATTCACGTCCCTCACGAGTCGTAATTTGTCTGCGGGCTTTTACGTTCTGTCTTCCACGTTTAATGAAGTTCCCTTCTCTCTCGGTGTTTGAATCAATGAGACGCGATGTTCATTTTCTGTTTCAGTGCATATTTTCTGGTTGACCGTAGAACATTCCAATGAAATGGTTTCCACGCGGCTTAAACGGTGTGGACTAGCTACACCTTGGTCCATGTGGTTTGCATAAACCATTGTACACTAAAATGGGGTTCCGAAAATAATAGGAACAATTCATCAGCTATGTTTCCACCACACAGTCAAGCGTAAAATTTAAAATACCATGCTCACTTGTTTATAGAGGCTTCTCTACTATTGCTGAGGCAGCTGATTAAGGTAGGTTTGTAAATTTATGGTCCGTTATCACATAGCGTTGCTCAGGAGCTTTTAAATGAGTACACAGAAATTTTGTGGCTGCTGCTGTTCTATTGTCTGCTCAAACGTTAGAGTTGTTTATAGGTGTACATGACCTGCGAGCTGTTTGCTGATCAAATGACAAGTGGAAAGCTTAAACCCTCCGTGGCGATCAAACAGATAGGTTTCACGTACTTAGCTAGTAGGTGCATCCACCTCAGGTTCATGTTGTCTGGGTTTCTGTATTCGGTTGCAAAAGGGAACGTAGGTCCAGTAGGATTTATATAACGTACCAGCAGCTGGTACATTTTTCCGATACCTATTTATGCAACCAAACTGCGTGCTTCTTGAACTGGAACAGAAACATTTGGGTAGCCATTCCTAGCGCTGTGCCACCTGTGAGTCAGGACTCATCTGTTCAATCACTTTTCTGTAATGACGACTACAATCGATCAGCTACCCATGCTTATTTACTTTGATATTGTCTGTGACCAAAAACAGTCAAAAATCAATCTCGTCGCCAATATCCATTAGACTTTTTCACTGGTTTCAGCACCAATAGCTGCCAAAGAAGGAGGACAATCTAGGCCATTGAAAATTTACAGTTTATTCCCTCTTCATTGTTGTGGCGTTTGTGTAGCTGCATTATACCTTCGTTTTTTGCCCACACTCTAGGCTTAAGTAAGGAACCTGAGAATGGCAATTTTCAGCTTTTATCCCTGTTCTGTGAAAGCTTTTGTAGAAAGTATGATACAAAGACAGCTTTCAGCAGCCCAGGTTAACAATATTTTAGCTTTATTGCAACCCAGATGAGCTGTTATGGAATGATGAAGTCACCCACATTCTCCATCCTTGTATTTAAGTCATGCACTGGCAAACCTAGCACTTAGCGCCAGTCTTTTTGAACGTCTGGTGTACATGTTCCAGATTTTTATGAAATTCGCCTAGCTATTATCACATGCTTCTTCATTCTGTTTCTTTGTCTGACGTTTTTCGGCAAAGTTTTAGTTCATAATAGCAAAATGATTATTCACGCATGAACTTGAATGGTTACAATAGTTTGGAGTAGATGTTTGAGCCGTGTTTTCTGGTTTCAGTAGCAGGATTCCAAAACAGTGGTTTGGCTGCACAATTATTCATATTACACATACTTTGAAACATCATCATAAATCCGCTGATGTGGTCTATATGCAAATTCGTGAGTCTAACCGTCTTCTACAAAACTCGACCCTCGATCATGGCTAAACTGGAAATGTCAGACAAACACTTTGTCACACTAGTTCTTAAATCGTTTATTATTGGTGATAGTGGACTGCAAGCAGTGAATGCAACATCCAAGAACTATGCCATCCCAGATGACGCTATTATCGCTGACACCTTTGATCCACATAGCCGACAATTTGATCAGGAAACGCGGGTCTTTACTTATCAACTTTTCAATGTTCAGTTCACCAAATGAACCAAACTTCACAGCGCCGGCCTACTTGATGCAGCACTTAGCACTGCGCAGGTCAAGCGGATCTTTAGCATGCATGAAGCATGTAACAGAGGATTAAGGAATCAGGTTAACTTGACATTGTGTACTCGAACATTTTACCTTCAAAAGCGTCACCAACACCGTCTCAAACTAAGTAAGCAGGCGGTTAAGTGACGCGCCTTCGAGCTCTGTAGATAAATCGAGCCTCCGTGATTTGGGCGCACGAGACGGCCTCATACGGCATAACCTCTATGCATCGAATAGGACATTAAGCACCACATCCCATTGTAAACAATGGGGGAAGATTCCAAGTTTTTCCGTCATTTTTGCCATTTTGAGCAGCGCCAGTAACTTTCTCCTATATGTTTCAAATCATTCAAAAAATTTTATTCTGAAAGGCGATAACGGTAATCATGCAGTCAAGGCAGTTTCACGAGAAGCATCGACAAGCTTCCGCCGTTCTCCATGGTGATACCACGTAATCATCGCCTTTACAAGTCTACCATCATCCAGGCATTCTTGACGAGGGCCAGCTGTCAAAAGTTTTATTCGCCAACCAACTCCGGTGAATTCGCGCCAAGGCGCAATGATTCTGATACATGGTTTTCCATCAGCTTGGGAGACGGAGCTCCCTGTGCAGAGTCCGATCTTCTACTTGAACTTTGGTTTCGCTGTAGTCGGAAAGCTGGAAAAGAGGCTCATCGCACTGCAATTGCATAGCTGCATAATAGCTGGCAAGTTTTTAGGCTTTTGTTGGGCAATGTTAATTGTGAAGCTTTCTGGTCACGGTAATGAGGGGTCAGATCAACATTAACCCATCAGGTAAATTGCAACCTGAAAGACAATCTAATAAACCCCAAAGTGACAGTGACTATTCTCCTCGTACAGTTTTATTTTCCCATGAAACTCACTTTCGGCTAATTGCACTCTCTTGCACTCCCTTGTCGTTTTTGTATAAGTTTTCGTATATCACCCATCTACGGATGTTTCATAGTGGTCTCCAGGCTGTTCTCCTTTTGTATTTGCGTGGTTCTGGCTTTGAACTGTTTTTGGCGTCTTGCAAAAAGTTAAACCAAGTCAGCGTTATATCACGACTTGTATGCGGCATTAGTTCCAGTCCGTTTCCGTAGTTTCACCGTCACTTGCTTCTTGGTTTACTTAGCTTTGGTTTCATTCGTCTGCAACCGTGTTGATTTGATAATCATAATTTGCGTCTTTTAGGGGGTTGAAATGAATTCACACATGCTGTGTTCCTTGGGAAATCTACCGAAGTTTTCGTGCTGCACTCCATTCTACACTATCTGAAGGCAATCATGCTCCGCTCACTTATGCAAGGGTCACTGGAGCCCTCGGTATATCCTAAAGTCAATTGAATGAATTGATTATTTCGGCTTCTTGATATGCGACGGATTTCGTTGCGCTAAGATTCGGATCTCCCTTCCCAATGTGCCTCGTTCCACCCATTGTTGACTTTCTTTTTACCTATTTGGTTGATGGCAAGACTGGCTTTTCGTTGCCTTGCAGTACATTACACTCGGCTCGTACTTCTTCCCAGTAAACACAGTGCCACCGGTGGCTAACGGTGACCAAAGGTGGCTCGCTTTGCCACTGATTTTGTTGGTGAATACAAGCCAAACATAGCATTTGTTGCATAAAAGCCTTTTTGAAAACAAATGTAACAGGATACTCTGGATACTGGAACTCTATTTACGAAGTAATTTTTGAAACCGATTTGTTTGAATGCACCACCGATTAAATACATCATGAAATTTTTGGGTTGCCAGCTTTGGCCGCATTTCGCCACCGGTGGCGCCATCGGTCGCACCTAAAGGCTGTCATACATCACACTAGTCTACAGTCCTGTCCTCAGAGATAAAGCTATACGGATATAGCTCTGCCTCTGGGCACACATATACATATAGCACATGGCCCTGAGCCGCCAGTACGCTAAAATAGCAGACAAGTAGCCTACATTAGACTGGAACTTTTCGAGACCGACTTTATTGTAAAGTTCACTTTTATCAGTCTCCATTCAAAGGCAAACTGAATCTTGATTAGTGATCTTGCGCTTCTTCCAAAAATCGGTATTTCTGCACACAACTCAAAAACTGAACTTTTTTTCTTTAATCTAAGTGTCTAAAAATGACCATATATAATAATAGTGCATTTCGGTTTTCCAAATTTTGTCTCCCATCCAAAGAGAACGAAATTTGCATCATTCGCAAGCCCTAACGACAAGCATGCGGATAAACTCGCACATGGTGACCATTTCGTAAAACCGCACTTTCAAGGTCATTTTATTACTTAAATTTAGCATACAAAAATGGCTACTTCCAATTTCAATACTGTTTAGCCCTTGTACGAGACAGCAGACCAACGGATAAAGGTAGAACTGTCGTATCCATTAATTTTTTAGTCCGTCAGACATCCGCCGAGTTATTCCCTGTCCGCTGAATCTTCGTTCCCCATCGTCGTGTCCCAGCCCAGCACATCCCACGGATTTCACTGATTCACGGATTGATACACAGGATCGAGGCTTTTGCCCAAGTTTCCGGGTCGGTTTTGTTCTTGTCGGTCAGGGGCTGTCGTTCACCTGAAAGGCACAAGTGAAAAAAGGGTGTAGCACTGCTCTTTATGTTCTCAGCGCGGGGCAGTATGCTCGCCAGCGCGAGGATTCGCATAAATAAATGTCTAATAGTGCTTTAAATTGGGTTCGAGAAGGAGCGTGTACAACCGTCGGAGGAAGGTCATTCCACGCAGCTACTATCCGAAATGGAAAAAAGTTTTGTCTAATGAATGTGTGTGCCCTGAGCTTGAAAATTTTCTTACTATGTCCTCGCCGAGTGTTTGCTGGGTCAACGGTGAAAAACCTGTTTGCCAAGCTTTGTTCAAACAGGGCGTAAGTAAGTATTAGGTCCCCTCGGAGGCGACGGTACTCCAGGGGAAAGAGATCAAGCATCGCGAGACGCGTTTCGTAGTCCACGGATTTGAGGCCGGCAACCATTCTAGTGGCGGCCCGCTGGACACGCTCAATGAGGGGGACGTCTTTTGTACGTCCTGAGTAGACAACTTGGTTGGCGTATTCCAAGAGCGGTGTGACGTAGGCCCCATAGAGTATTTGGAAGTCCATGCGAGTAATACCCATTTTACGGTGGCTTCATACTCACCACTGACCCACTCAGATAATCTCAAGTGTCTAATGTCCCATCGTCGTGTCCCAGCCCAGCACATCCCAAATAACTATTTCAACCACCCATTTTACGGTGGCTTCATACTCACCGCTGACCCGCTCAGATAATCTCAAGTGTCTCATGTCGGTCTGCTTTGAACGATCCTCCAAGCCGTTCACTAAATTAAAATCTCCCATGACTTGGCGGACGGATAAACTTACTCATCCGGTTGCCCGCTCTAAAACGCTAGTGTATGATCTCAAACTTCGCAGATGGGTTTAGTGGGAAGGAACTGTCCGTATCTCCTCAAAATGGCAGCATTCGCCTTTGAGTACCAGTGAGCTGGGTTCAAATTTCCATCAAAATTGTCATACAGTTTTGTTTTGAAGCCCTGTTTCACACCACGGCATGACAAATTTCTTTTCCCGACTGGCATCCAAACCTCATTTTAGTTAACCTATCTTTATGGAAGGGACACGAACGTCACCAGTGTGCACCCGGGAATCTCAGACTCAGCCGCAGGGGAAAGATCGTAATCTAAAATCCACGCACCTTCAAAATATCTTAGATACATCTTTTGAACCTCAATTCCTGGAGGCGAGAAATCTGAGTCAGCTATTCCTAAAGCCACAGAAAACCTCCAATATAAGCCATCTGACCCATACTGTCTCTCATGTCTGGTACCACGCTTTTTAGCTTCATGGAAACATCCAGTTTGAAAGCCATCGAAGGAACATGCCCAAGGGAAAATTAAAACATCAGTCCAAAGTCATCTGCGCTTGAAATCCCCCATTGTAGATAATCTGTGTTTCTTGCTCCCATACTTCTGTCGGCCAAATTTTCTGTTGAAAAACTAATACCACACCACCAGTCAGCACATCTGGCCGTCGAAAATACCTAAATGGGCCAGGCTATTTGCCATTTGGTCCGCAAAACGGCAGGATTTCCACCCAATTTTTCGTTCAGCTCAGTTGCGTAAGCAGTCACACCATGTTCTCTGAGTTACCTCCCGTTCCGCAGCACACTTGAGTACTTTAGACTGGTCTGCCGTCCCTGACCCATCCTACCTTCATCTTCAGTCCTACCAGTGACACGGCGTATTCCGGCGTATTCCCTCTAACTAGTTACATCTGTAGCCACGCCTTCTCATATCCACAGTCTCACTTCCTTTTCAAATACCCGCTGTCCGCCCCCCTAATCCCGAAGCAGCTTTTTGCTCTCATTTATCCATGTTCACCCTACTTGGCCTGAACTTGCTCAATCCGTGCACCTCTCAACCCACCTGTCTGTGTAGCACACGTAAAATCGCGGTCCTTTTAGCCTGGATCAATCAGCCGGAGCGACCAACAGGATGCACCGTGCAGGATACCAAACCCATAAACTAAGCTCCCACACGTGACCGTAATATCATTTGGCGATACCTTATGGAACGCGATGGGCTTACGTGGGTGTAGATCACCGCCCAGTTGGCCAACTTACCGCTTTCCTGTGTCTACAAACGACGACAAATTCCTCTTACCCCTTGGTATTTTACGCTGCTTGAGCTGCGAAATCTTCAGTGCAACATCCGGTTCTCGGAAGACGTTGAACTACCCTCAGGTGGTCCCTGAAAGTGCCTTGCTAGCGGGCATTTCCAGTGGAATACAGCGGCACCACACCAAACCAACCCGTCTCTGCAAATACATCGACCGAGCCCCATGAACCTCGTTACCATTTAGGGACTTCTTATGGTGGACGATCTCATGGAACCTGTTAATTTGAGAGGCAGCGTCACTGTAATTGGATGTTTAGAGCCCGTTTACTGGCGGAATTTCTTCAATAATTTGGCTGCAGCAAGTACTGCTATTAAACTTGGAAGTGATTAGAAAATGAATGAATCCTTCTCTAGGGTCGATGGAGACCAATCATTCTACACCTAATTCTTCTGACATCCTTCAAATCCGGCGTTCTTTTCTTGAAATCGTACTACCATCCCCTTACTGCTGTAGCTAAGAGCACAGGAACCATCGGTCCATCTGCCGCCCCAAGGTCCTAGTGGTTTTTCGTGCAATGCAATGGGAAAATAAGCAGCAAGGCTCCTCCACTGCCCGGAATCCGCCTCCAACACGCCCGACACATCTCCACCTATTTTCACTTCTGACTAATTTGACTCTGCTTGCTACCGGCTTCAAAAACGTTATCCGCATCATCTTCCTTCACTTTGCTGTGTTTATTGTGCCACGCATATGCCGCTCTGTTACCAAATTGGGAGAACGGTGTCACAGATCTCCCTTATTTTTGGTTGTACGCATTCTTCACCAAACAACTCTCTCACAATTAAGGTGCTGACGAACTTCTCTAAATAGTCGAAGCCCCTAGCAATGCTTCTCAATGATGTCGTTGACCCCAACCTTTACACAATATTTCTTTATCTCATGCCGCACCCGCTAGTGCCCATATACTCACTGGTTTTTAATGCAGTTGGTCTAAGAATACTGAGTACTGGCCCAGCCGTTTTGCAGAAAGCCTATGATGTCTGCTGAAATTGAGCTCTTCATTTAGGTCCCTCAAAATCAGCAACCACACGGTGGAATATTCTACTCTCTGCAACATTTCTCCACCCAATTACACCTTTTAACTACAACGGTCATCGCTTTATAACATAACCAGTGAACCACAGTATATGGACGCCTAAATTTTTGCTGATATTACCTTGTCACAAATGTACCGTGGGCTTTCATCAAGAACTAATCCGCTGCTACAATGACACCAAGGCCGCTTAAGATGTTATTATATCGATACTTGGTTCATTTTAAAACACTGTTGTCATGGGCGAAGCATAAAACCTAAGCGCACTAAAGCAATCTCGGAAAATATTTTACGAAGTGGTCAATTCTCTTGCCGTCTGTTCTGATATGGACAGCCATATTGTATTGCGCGATCTTGAAAATAACTCCAACGAAAGTTTCCCCCCATCAACTCAAAGAAATACATGTTTAAAATTATGTAACTGTTTTACAGAGAATATTGAAATTTATAAATTTTGATCAATAAACTTAATTAACTTTGGAAGGATTATGGTCAAATTTTGTCCGTTGACCGCATGTGCACTGACGGCGTCTTATTTTTGCGTTTGAAGGTTCCAGTTTCCGTTTTTGCCTACACACCGGAATATCATTTTCCCGTAGGCGGTCGTGGTGATGACACATCAGCTCGCATGAGATTTAAGGGTCATCTAATGCCCGAAGGCCAAATGGCTTTCGAGCAAAATTGAATAATTACGCGTCCCTAAAACAAGATCAATTGACCATTCATATATTTGTTAAAAAAACATGGTCGCATACAAAAATATATTAACTTTTCTAATTTTTTATCACTTGCATTAACGATGAGCTCCTACGGACTTTTTTCGCAATCACTATTCGTTGATATGACCAGACAGCAGAAATTCGGAGACCGGTGACCAATACTAGTATCTTAACTTTTCCCCGTAAAATCTAAAATGCTCATCACATGCAGCAAATTCCAGCGAGACAAGTTGTTGTCCATCATCTTGAAAGTTGTGTTCCTATCATTCTTCATGTGTTTGCTGTCTCGTGCGACACGAACCCTTTGACGGCACTCCAACAGAACTGGGGACTACCACCTCTCCGTATCAGATCACCCCATGACCTCCCCACTAACAAGGCCAGCGGATAGCCTTCTCTCTCGTTATCACATTGGCCAGCTCCCCATTTTGCCAAAATTGGAGCGAATATCCTCTTTCCCTTGCTTCAAGCCTTCTTGTCGCCTGACGCCCAGTGCCAGACTTGAGACATCACTTTTCGGGCGATGCCGGCCTCATGTAACGCCATTGGAATAAACTACGCAATCACGAAGCAGAAAAACATCTGTACTCATTCGTCCTACGCATCTTTTTCTATATCAACACTAATGGCAATCTTAGCCAGCCCCGGTTGCTAGGTCAGCCAGCAGAAAACTACAACCATCCGGACTCGTTAATCAACTTGCCGCCATCCTCAAAACTGTGCTACATCTTAGATTGTTTTCTCCTAGTGAAATCTGTGCTAACAGATCCCCCAATTTACGGGGTTTTACAAATCTTATCCCGTTATCTCCTCTTTCAAAGCGCCTTATCTCTGAAATGAAGTTTTCTACCACGTGCCAGGCAAGTCCTCTCAATTTTGTCCTCCCCACTTTTGTTTTTCCTGCGCACCATCATCAAATCATAACCGTATGAACTTGCTTCAGTTCAATGTCCTCTACGAGGAGGAAGAAAACTATCAGCGGTATTTCCCAGTCCTCATTTTTCACTACAACAAGATAATGTGACTTTGGGCTTGAATTAAGCCGTGTGGAATAATGCCTACTATTTGTCTGTCCGTGTTCTTCAGAAACCCACAAATGTTGCAAGTCTCGCCTTTATTCTGCCCTTATCATCATGATCATACCTGATTGTATTTCACCTATGCGGTAGAAAAAACATTATCATTATTATGATCACCATTTCCTCGCAGCGGACTTTAAGAAAGACCGGCTACATTTGTAAAGCGATGCTGCAACTCACAAAATCAGAAGTTAACTGGCTGTTCGAGCAATTGTCATCCTGTTCCGTGAAAAACATTCTAGTGAGTTCAGACCCTGGAGAAAGGAACTGGACTCGAGTTTTAATCGTATCAGAGCCCATCAGCATTGGAAATCCTTGGCCGTTGCTGGGTTTGAAATCCACACGTCTGACAACCTAGGTATCAGACACACTAGGTGTAACAACTGTTCCACCGACAAAGACTGTGCGCATCTAAATCTTTGGGCCTAATCGGTGGAAGTGTTTGCACCTGATTAGTTGATTGGTAAGCTTGATGCCTTGGAAGAAATCCTAGTAACATGCCTTAGTTGTGCCGATCGACTGGCCTCTTTGGGCCTAATCGGTGGAAGTGTTTGCGCCTGATTATCTGATTGGTAAGCTTGATGCCTTGGAAGAAGTCCTAGTAACATG